AATATTGGTGTCGAGCCATCACTGATCTTAAACGCGATTTCCCCGAAAACATACTCATCGCTAGTATTATGGCTCCATTTGTCAAAGAAGATTGGGTTGAGTTGGCCGTCATGTCTGAAAAGGCCGGTGCGGACGCTATTGAGCTAAACTTAAGCTGGTAATTGATGGTACAATACATTTTTAAATATTATAAATAAATAAATTATTCATTTGTAGCCCTCATGGTATGGGTGAACGTGGGATGGGTTTAGCGTGTGGACAGGTATGGTCTAAAAGCAGTTTCTGAAAATTCAATTAATACCGTAAATTATAAAATTATTTTCTATTTAAATGAAAGGATCCGCATTTAGTGCGGAATATCTGTGTTTGGGTGCGAGAAGCCGTCAAAATCCCATTCTTTGCCAAATTGACACCAAATGTGACGGATATCGTGGAGATTGCTATCGCCGCCAAAGAAGGTTAGGCTAACAGTCGAGGCATTAATTGACGAATAATTTATTAACTAAAATTAAAATTTAGGAAAAGCTGATGGCGTAACCGCGACTAACACTGTATCGGGTTTGATGGACCTGAAAGGGAACGGTACCCCCTGGCCAGCCGTCGGTATTCAGAAAAGAACTACTTATGGGGGCGTTTCAGGCAATGCCATCCGACCGCTCGCCTTACGTGCCGTCTCTGCCATCGCTAAGGCTTTGCCCGGATTTCCAGTATTAGCGACGGGTGGCATCGATTCGGCCGACGCTGGACTTCAATTCATATATTCCGGGGCATCTGTACTACAGGTGACTTCAATTCAGGAAATTCTGTGTGTTTTTATTTAATTCATATGAATACCGGACAATAGGTTTGCAGTTCTGTCCAAAACCAAGACTTCACTGTTATTGAGGATTACATAATAGGACTTAAAACAGCTCTTTATCTAAGAAGTATTGATGATATGTCCGAATGGAACGGACAGTCGCCCCCAACACCTAAGCATCAAAAGGGAAAGCCTATTCATTTGTTTGATGAGAAACTGCCCGCATTTGGTCCCTACAAGAAGCAAAGGGAGCAAAAGGTTATTGATTTGAAAATTAACTCTAATTTATTGAGCGATCACTTAAAACCACCAAAAGTGAGGCCAATAAACAAACCGACGAGAGATGTGGTGAAAATTAAGGTAAATATTTGGATAATTAAATTATAACTTTAATTAAAGTCATTGATTATAGGATTTGATTGGAATATCTTTGTCAAGAATCGGAACTTTCGCTGAACTGGACGTAAAGCTACAAAAAGTGGCCTTAATTGATCAAGTAACTAAATATTAAATTATTAATTTATATTATTATCACATTTAATGATTTGTTTATTAACTTAATTGCATTGTATAACAGGATATGTGCATTAATTGTGGCAAATGTTACATGACTTGCAATGATTCTGGATATCAAGCGATTACTTTCGACAGCGAAACACATTTGCCATTTGTTACCGACGACTGCACCGGTTGTACGCTATGTTTAAGTGTCTGTCCAATCATCGATTGTGTGACAATGGTTGAGAAGACTATTCCTCATTATCCTAAACGGGGAATACCTGTGAAGGGAGAGGTCAAGAATCCGAGGAAAGTTAGCTTTCCTCTATTGGCCCAATGATTGCGATTTTTATTTTCAAATAAAATTATTTTACTATATATTTGGAAATCAGTCAATAAAATTATATTGCTTCGCATTATCGTTTTAATTATGTAATTCACTTGAATACAAAACTTTAGTTATGTTTAACAATCAAATGATGGATTAAAAAGTCAAAGACATACATAAGATCTGAAGGTATGTAATGAAAAGAAATGGTTGTATTACTGCAACAGTTAAAGCCCTAAAACATGTGAATATATTAATTAGCGATTAACAATAAACTGATGACACTGTACCTTGTTGATAAAATTGACATTATATACTAGAAACCAGTCGTAGAAACCAGTATTATTGATTAGGAGATCCTCCGGCGTAAACGGGAAAAAACGCTTCCGATTCATACCATCCCTCTCTTCGCCTATCTTTACGTTCAGTCTATTTAAACAGCTATTTATTTGTTAAGAGTTAATACAATAAGTGAGGGTATTGTAAGTGATCTTTAACATTTTATAGTTGACACCTACTATCCAATCTCAGCGTCTTCTGCTCCCGTCTCTTTTGCCAAATTCAAGCATTTGTTAGGGTTTTCCAACTCATTTAGAAAACGATTGGCGGCTTCACTACTAATTGCCTTTAGTTTTCAATCAATTTTAGTTTTAATGATCTGTTATAAAATAATTTTGAATTCACTTACATATCCGGCACCTTATATCAGAAAACACATAAATTAATATCAATATTTAAATAAATTGTTAAGTTCTGTATAAAAACCCATTGAATACCTCCACTCATATATAACTGGTTATGATTTCCAGCTAAAGCGAAGGGACAGCCGAACCAAATGCCATCATTTGGATCATAGTTTGAGAGCAAATGTTTGAGATTTTCCATCACAACATACGTGTCGTCGTCGGCCTTAAAAAGCCAATCAAATCGGCCCTTAAATTTTTGGACTCCATATTTAATAGCCTTAAAAGTCTTGCACACCAAGTGATCATGGTCATACTTCTCGCACTCCACTGTAATCGCTGGCAGTTTGGGGTCTTCTCGAGAGCTAACGAAGTAAAGAATATCACATTTCTTACCCCACGTCTCCTTAACGGCCAGGGCTTTGGTTTTGTGATTCTGTGGTTGAGTTATCACTAAACATAATATTCTTGGATTTCTTTTCAATTTTAATGTATTATTTATGTTGAATTCATTTTTAGCTACTGGTGCATTATTTGTGAACATATATATTAATATAGAAATTAACAATAAAATATATATTTTAAGCACAAAATCAAGTGTTTGTCGCCTAAATAATCTCATATCAAATCTGATGTCTTATGCGTAACTTAATGATTTGTAATGTTGCCGTTCATATTTTACTTTTTTGCACATTATTTGATTTGTTAGTAATATTTTAACTCAAATCTGTTTTCATCAGTTATCAAATCATTTTATTTTATTAATAAATATTTTAATGGCATTTCCCCATAAAAATATAAGTGTTCGTAAAATACTTTAATTAAAATTCATTTATTTTTATTTTTTAATTTCAAATGATATATAAAAAACTCTAAAACATACATCTCTTTTGGTTCAATATAATGAAATGTAATACTCGTATCACTACAACAATTCATTCCCTGTAATCAAAACAGTTTACAAATTCAAATCTATTGTTAAATAACATAAATGAAAAATGTTATATAAAAGTATACCTGCTTATAATCATTATTATTGATTTGAAAATTAACTCTAATTTATTGAGCGATGACTTAAAACCACCAAAAGTGAGACCAATAAACAAACCGACGAGAGATGTGGTGAAAATTAAGATAAATATTTTGATAATTAAATTATATCTTTAATTAAAGTCATTGATTATAGGATTTGATTGGAATATCTTTGTTATAAATCGGAACTTTCGCTGAACTAGACGTAAAGCTACAAAAAGTGGTCTTAATTGATCAAGTAACTAAATATTTAAATATTAATTTATATTATTATAACATTTAATGATTTGTTTATTAACTTAATTACATTACATAATAGGATATGTGCATTAATTGTGGCAAATGTTACATGACTTGCAATGATTCTGGATATCAAGCGATTACTTTCGATAGCGAAACACATTTGCCATTTGTTACCGACGACTGCACCGGTTGTACGCTATGTTTAAGTGTCTGTCCAATCATCGATTGTGTGACTATGACTGAGAAGACTATTCCTCATTATCCTAAACGGGGAATACCTGTGAAGGGAGAGGTCAAGAATCCGAGGAAAGTTAGCTTTCCTCTATTGGCCCAATGATTGCGATTTTTATTTTTAAATAAAATTATTTTACTATATATTTGGAAATCAGTCAATAAAATTACATTGCTTCGCATTGTTGTTTTAATTATGTAATTCACTTGAATACAAAACTTTAGTTATGTTTAACAATCAAATGATGGATTAAAAAGTCAAAGACATACATATGACGTGAAGGTACGTAATGAAAAGAAATGGTTGTATTACTGCAACAGTTAAAGCCCTAAAACATGTGAATATATGAATTAGCGATTAACAATAAAACTTATGATACTTTACTTGGTTAATAAAATTGACATTATATTCTAGAAACCAGTCCTCGAAACCAGTATTATTGATTAGGAAATCCTTCGGCGTTAACGCGAAAAAACGCTTCCGATTCATACCATCCCTCTCTTCGCCCATCTTTACGTCCAGTCTATCTAAACAGCTATTCATTTGTTAAGAGTTCATACAATAAGTGAGTGTATTGTAAGTGATCTTGAACATTTTATAGTTGACACCTACTATCCAATCTCATAGTCGTCTATACCCGTCTCATTTTTCAAATTCAAGCATTTGTTAGCGTTTTCCAACTCATTTAGAAAACGATTGGTGGCTTCACTACTAATTGCCTTTAGTTTTCAATCAATTTTAGTTTTAATGATCTGTTATAAAATAATTTTGAATTCACTTACATATCCGGCACCTTATATCAGAAAACACAGAAATTAATATCAATATTTAAATCAATTGTTAAGTTCTGTATAAAAACCCATTGAATACCTCCACTCATATATAACTTGCTATGATTTCCCTTTAAAGCGAAGGGAGAGCCGAACCAAATGCCATCATTTGGATCATAGTTTGAGAGGAAATGTTTGAGATTTTCCATCACAACATACGTGTCGTCGTCGGCCTTAAAAAGCCAATCAAATCGGCCCTTAAATTTGGGGACTCCATATTGAATAGCCTTAAAATTCTTGCACGCCAAGTGATCATGGTCATACTTCTCGCACTCCACTGTAATCGCTGGCAGTTTGGGGTCTTCTCGAGAGCTAACGAAGTAAAGTATATCACATTTCTTACCCCACGTCTCCTTAACGGCCAGGGCTTTGGTTTTGTGATGCTTTGGTTGAGTTGTCACTAAACATAATATTCTTGGATTTCTTTTCAATTTTAATGTATTATTTATGTTGAGTTCGTTTTTCGCTACATTTGTGAACATATATATTAATATAGAAATTAACAATACAATATATATTTTAAGCACAAAATCAAGTGTTTGTCGACTAAATAATATATCAAACCTCATGTCTTATGAGTAACTTGATGATTTGTAATGTTGCCGTTCATATTTTACTTTTTTGCACATTATTTTATTTGTTAGTAATATTTTAACTCAAATCTCTTTTCATCTGTTACAAAATCATTTTATTTTATTAATAAATATTTTAAGGGCATTTCCCCATAAAAATATAAGTGTTCGTAAAATACTTTAATTAAAATTCATTTATTTTTATTTTTTAATTTCAAATGATATATAAAAAACTCTAAAACATACATCTCTTTTGGTTCAATATAAT